TTTTTCTGAGAAGGAATCCACCCTTGGTGAAGATGCCTTGAAATGTCAACAAAGGATTTAGAATATTACATAAGCGTAGCTGATAAAGCATCAGTACAGTTTTGGAGGAATGACTTCAATTTTGAATGAAGTTCTGGTGTGGGTAAAATGCTCTCAAACAGTATTGCATGTTACATAGAAATTTTTGATGAAAGGAAGAGTTAGTCTATGCATCAAACTCTATCATCTTATTTTGAGAAACTGCCTCAGTCACCCCACCCATCAGCAGTCACTACTCTGGTCAGCAGCCAGCAACGTTGAAGCAAAATCCTTCACAGGCAAAAAAAAAAGATTATGACTCACTAAAGGGTCGGATGACAATTAGCATTTTTTTTAAGCAATTAAGCATTTTTTAATTAAGGTATGTACATTGTCTTTTTGGACATGACATTGCACACTTAATAGACTACAGTATAGTGTAATCATAAGCTTTTATATGCACTGGAACACTGAAATATTCAAAGGATCAACCAATCCAGGAGCAGATTTCTTTGAAAAGATAAACAAAATGGACAAGCTTTTAAGCAGACACATCAAGAAAAAAAGGGAGAGGACCCAAATAAATAATATCAGAAATGAAAGAGGAGAAATAACAACTGATACCACAGAAATACAAAGTAAGAAATTACTATGAGCAATTATATGCCAAGAAATTTGAAAACCTCGATGAAATGGACATATTTCTAGAAAAGTATAACCTTCCAACACTGAATGAAGAAGCAGCAGAAAGCATGAACAGACCAGTAACAGCTGGTGAGATTGAAGTAGTAATCAAAAAACTCCCAGCACACAAAAGCCCTGGACAGGATGGTTTCACAGGAAAGTTTTAAAAAAACATTTAAGGAAGAGCTAACCCCTGTCTTTCTCAGACTATTCCAAAAAATCCAAGAGGTGGGAAGACTCCCAAACTCTTTTTATGAGGCCAGCATCATCCTAATCCCAAAACCAGATAAACACACAACAAAGAAAGAAAACTACAAGCCAATATTGCTGATGAACATAGAGCTAAAATGCTCAACAAAATATTGGCAAACCGCATCCAGCAATACATTAAAAAGATCATCCACCACGATCAAGGGGATTCATCCCAGGGATGCAAGGATGGTACAATATTTGCAAATCAATAAACGTAATACATCATATAAACAAAAGGAAAGACAAAAAACACATGATCACCTCAATAGATGTGGAAAAAGCATTTGATAAGGTACAGTAACCATTTATGATAAAAACACTCAGCAAATTGGGTATAAAGGGGGCATACTTCAACATAATAAAAGCCATATATGAAAAACTTACAGCCAACATCATACTTAACGGGCAAAAACTAAACGCTTTCCCACTAAGGTGGGAACAAGATAAAGATGTCGTCTTTCACCACTTCTATTCAGCATAGTATTGGAAGTCCTAGCCACAGTAATCAGACAAGAAAAAGAAATAAAAGGCATCCAAATTGGAAAGGAGGAAGTAAAACTATCATTGTTTGCAGATGACATGATAGTGTACATAGAAAACCCTATAGACTCCACCAAAAAACTACTCGACCTAATAAGTGAATTTGGGAAAACAGCAGGATAAAAAAATCAATATTCAGAAATTGAAGGCATTTTTGTATACCAACAATGAAATATCAGAAGCAGAAATCAGGAAAAAAAATCTCATTTGCTATAGCAACAAGAAAAATAAAGTACCTAGGAATAAATTAAACCAAGAAGGTAAAAGACCTGTATGCAGAAAACTATACAACATTGAAGAAAGAAATTAAGGAAGACACAAATAAATGGAAGCATGTACTGTGTTCATGGTTCGGAAGAATTAACATCATCAAAATGTCCATACTACCCAAAGCAATTTACAGATTCAACGCAATCCCTATTAAGATACCAATGACATATTTCACAGAAATAGAACAGACATTTCAAAAATTTATGTGGAACCATGAATGACCCCGAATAGCTGCAGCAATTTTGAGAAAGAAAAACAAAGTAGGAGGGATCACAATACCAGACATCAAACTATATTACAAAGCCACTATACTCAAAACAATCTGGTACTGGCACAAGGACAGACCCACAGACCAGTGGAAGAGAATAGAAAGCCCAGAAATAAGCCCAGATCTATATGGGCATCTAATATTTGACAAAGGGAGCAGAAGTATAAATTGGAGTAAAAACAGCCCCTCAACAAATGGTGTTGGGAGAGCTGGACAGCTACATGCAAAAAATTGAAATTCGACCACCAACTGACACTACGCACAAAAATAAGATGGATAAAACAGTTAAATATAAGTCACGACACCATAAAGGTCCTAGAGGAGAACATAAGCAGGAAACTCTCAGATATCCCAAGCAGTAACATTTTTACAAATATGTCTTCTAAAGAAAGGGACATAAAGGAAAGAATAAACAAGTGGGACCTCATCAAAATAAGCTTCTGCATGGCTAAAGAAAACATCAGCAAAATGAAAAGGGAACCAACCGTATGGGAAAATATATTTGCCAATGATACATCAGACAGGGATTTGATCTCCAAAATATATAAAGAACTCACATGACTCCACTCCAAGAAGATAAACAATCCAATTAAAAAATGGGCAAATGACCTGGACAGACACTTCTCCAAGGAAGAGATACAGAGGGCCCAGAGACATATGAAAGGATGCTCAGCATCACTAGCCATCTGAGAAATGCAAATTAAAACCACAATGAGATACTACTTCACACCGGTCAGAATGGCCATCATAAGCAGATCAACAAACAATAGGGGCTGGCGAGGCTGTGGAGAAAAGGGAACCCTAGTACGCTGTTCGTGGGAATGCAGACTGGTGCAGCCCTGTGAAAACAGTTAGGAATTCCTCAAAAAGCTAAAAACGGAACTGCCTTTTGAGCCAGTGATTCCACTGCTGGGACTATTTGCTAAGAATCCCAAAACACCAATCCAAAAGAACCTATGCACCCCAATGTTCAAAGCAGCACAATTTACAATAGCCAAGTGCTGGAAGCAACCTCAGTGCCCATCAGTAAACAAGTGGATCAAAAAACTATGTTACATTTATACAATGGAATACTACGCAGGAGAAAGAAAGAGCTACTACCTTTCACTACAGCACAGATGGAACTGGAGAGGATTATATTAAGTGAAATAAGCCAGGAGGCGAAAGATAAATACCATATGATCTCACCTATAAGTAGAACCTAACCAACAAAACAAACAAGCAAGGCAAATAGACCGGCAACATTTAAAGAAAAAAGAAACCAACAGAATGGAAAGGGAAGCGGGGGCGGCGCATGGAAAGGGAAGGGAAGGGTCAAGTTAAGGAACATGTATAAAGGACCCACGGACAAAGCCAAAGTGGGAAAGGATTGAGGTAGGGAGGTGGGAGAGGGCGGCAGGGGAAAGTGGTGGCGGGAAGATGGAGACAAATGTATTTGAACAATTATAAAAAAATGGAACTTGGCTCCTCACAAAAATCACTCCCAGTACCACAGATCTCTTTGTGAAAGGTAAAACTATAGTTCTTAGAAGATTACATAAAAATATCTTCAGAACTTTCACACACATACACACCACTCAGGTTCAATTAGCAAGAATGACTCAGAACTTTGGAAAGCACTACACTTAAAATTACAGTTTTACTATAGTGAAATGATATAAATCAGAAGGAGACAAAGGAAGAAACACACAGCGTGAGATCTGGTAGGGTCCCAAACACAAAACTTCTGGTATCCTCTTCCTGTGCAATCAAGATACATCACCCTCCTGACACCTTGATGTATAACAATACACACAGTACTGTCAACCAGGGAAGCTCACACAAGCTCTAAGGTCCAGAACTTTTACTGGGGATTCACTTCATAGGTGAAGGGATTAGGAAGCACAAATTGTTAGTTACAGAATAATAATGAGGTTGTAAAGTACGGTAAAGGGGATATAGTCAATGATATCCTAATGATTACATATGGTGTCAGAAGGGTACAAAATTTACAGAATGGTCACTTATTAAGTTATATGTTTAACCACTGGGGTGTATCCCTGAAACTAATATATTGTATTTCAACTGTAATTGAAAAATAATTATTTAAAATAAATGAATATAATTTCCAAGGTCCTTACAGCTTGGATTAATATTAAATTTATGAATAAGCTTTAATTATCTGGAATCTTTGCTTATCTGGACATTAGGAGATTAAAAGTTTAAAGCTAGAAATTACAAAAGCAATGCAAAATAAGTAATACATATTTGGTCACATTAAGGTTCCAATTATGATGATAAATTTGACATAGTACATGCACAGCCCTAAATTAATTAATGACACAGTTAATATATCTGAAAACTAAAATTTAAGCTTTAAAATTTTCATCTTATTTAGATGTATTTGCGTATATTTAAACTTACATATAAAGTTATATTAGAATTGTGAAACTGAGAACCTTATGAATAATAAAGAGAAAAAACTAACAATTTAAGGGAACATGGTCTCTGAATATTCAGTCTACTTTTTAAAAAAGCAAAAAAGAAAAACATCATATCTTCTTAATTGGTGGCTTTTACGAAGAACAAAACTTTCTTATCTCATAGAGAGGCTCCTAAATCTTTGTGGTTTAATGCTGATTTTTTAATTCACTTTTTGATTAAAATTTCCTATTTCTAAAAGGGTTAAAATTTCTATTAATTGTTATTGCTATGATTAATTTAAATGTTATTTTTGATTATTTGTATAACTAAGACTTCAATTAATTTTTGTCTTGAAACATCTATGACTTAGGTTTATGTACTAATGCTGTTTCTTTGATAATTGTTTTTGATATAGAGTTTTCCAAATCTAGACTCAAAATATTACATAATAAAAATGTTAAAATGTTAATAAAAAGAGAGAAATACTAATAAATACTATTTTAGAACAATGCAAGAACCTCAGCATTTTCCAAATTTATAAATTTGAATAACAGTGCTAACTTACTTCTTCAGCAGACATGTGAAATCGTAAAACATTTGGCAAAACACTGCCACATTCCCACCTCAGTGATCTAATTCGAAGCAATCGGTCATACCTAGGACATTAAGAAGGCATTAGATGGCTTAACAAAAGGGATATCAGAAGTTGTTTTGATCAGGAAAGACTCAAGACTCACTATAACCTAAATGTACTATGTGAACTTTATTTGGCACCTGAGGCAAACAAACCATTTTAAGAGGTCATCTTTGGGACAGTGCAGAAAACATGAATATGGATTGGATAAAAGTCTTATTAGAGATGCATATTAAAGTATTCAGAGGTAAAATGTCTTGATGTTCTACAATAGTGTAGCATAAATAACTAACATGAAACAAATATGGCAAAACGTTAAAATTGTTACAATGGCCCTGGCTGGGTGTCATCCTGCATACCAAAGGGTTGTGGGTTTGATTCCTGGTCAGGGCATATATCTAGGGTTCGATCCCCAGTTAGGGTGCATATGGGAGGCAACAATCAATGTTTCTTTTTCTTTCTCTTTCTCTCTCTCTCCCCACCTCCCTTCCTCTCTAAAATCAATAAACATCCTTGGGGGAGGATTAAAAAAAAAATTGTTACACATGTATGATGGTTCCTTGGGGTTTCATAACACTATTCTCCTTAGTTTTATGAATATTGTAATTTTTCATAATAAAAAGTTTTAAAATGGAAAAGAAATGTAGAATGTTTATAGAGAGACAAATCTAAAAATCTGTTTTCATTTGAGATAGATAATTAGGAAACCACAGGAAAAATGCTCCATTGTTCCCTGACACCCCCAAGCAAAAACTGAGAGGCTTACAGGTATGCTACAGTGCAGCGTCGGTTTCTTAGCAAAGAACAGTGTCGAAATTTGATGGTTGGTATCAAATCACTTCGTCCACCTGACTTCGCTTCATTCCTAGTAACATTTGAATAAGAAAAGAACAAATATGTATATTTCAGTATAAATAAAATTTTCAAAGTCAACTAACAACTCACTTACATTATTTTTTTATTATTAGCAGTTAACCTAATAGTAATAGCCTCTAATTCAGAGCTTTTGTTAATGTCAAAAGAGAAAAAAATCCAAGTAATTTCCCTAAGATTATCACACTATGATCTTTTCATTTAACCATTCAGTACTTTGCATTTTTGTACACTGATTAATCTCCATTATTTCCAAAAGACAAACACTGTGTTTACTCACTTTTTGGAATGCCTTTATCATGCTAGGATGAGACAAACATAACATCATGGTTCATAAGATTATGGTCCTAATATCGTTTTTATTCTATGCAATAATCCTCATTATAATAAAGTGGAAAATAGAAGTTGAAATGGTCTTTCACTCATCCAATAAATATTTGTACACCATATTACACATGTACGATACTTCAGTGTTCTTCACACAGAAAGACAATTTTGAATCTACCTTATAAAATTTACATGTCCTTAGATATTAAACAACATTTTAAAACCAGATGTGCAGATTAATGGGTACAGAGTGTCAGTATGACAAGATGAGGAGTTACAAAAATGGTGGTGACAGTTGCACAACATATGTATTTAATACTACTGAACCGTACATTTAGAAATGGTTAAGATGGCAAATTTTATGTTATGCATACTTTCTACAATTTTAAAAATTGGGGAAAAACAACAAAGCAAATGTACAGGAAAAAAAACCTACTTGGGAGTTTCAAAAGGAACCAGATGAATATAGCAAGGATTCCTTCATGGAGCATATGTTGCAGGCCCTGAGAAATATATGTCCCATCCAATCTTGTCTTTTAGATATGGTCTATATACTTCTGCCACTCTGTGAAAGTCAGACTTATTCTCGACGTTTACAACGTACTCCGGATTATACAGTAATAGCACAAATAAAATGCACCTAACACCAGAGTACTTTTTTAAGTGCATAAGGACTTCCTTAAAAATTTACATTCACATGAATAGTTTAAAAGAAACAGATTCTTTTCATTTAATAAGTATTAAGGAAATAGATTTCATTTGGGAAATAATTTTAATCAGAAATTGGTAATAGTGATTGTCCCCCTAGAAAACTAGGATAGGAAACAAAATTTGGGGTTATAAATTTACAAAGGGTACAAATACAGGGAATAAAGGAAAATCCTTCCCTTACTGGCTAAGGCCCTGTTAGGCCACCTCCTTTTTCACTTTTTACCTAGTCCAAGTCACCTCTGCTATCACCCATGTGCCTCCCTCCTCCATTGTCCACACAGTAGACAGTGTGACCTTTTAAAACACAAATGTGCCACTGCCTGCCCCACACATTTAAACACCTTGCTGGTGACATGCTTTGGCTGCTTACTAAGCTTCAGCCTCACTAACCTTCTTTAAGTGTTAGTTTCCCTGAGCACCCCACCTCTTTTATGACTCAGGGACTTTGCATATGCTGTTCCCTCCACCTGGAATGCTCTCTGTTTACAATTACTGGCTTGCTAAAAACCTGTTTCTCCTTCATCCCTCAGCTGAAATTTCCCTTCCTTGGACAGAACTTCCCTGATTCCTTGATCTAATTATATTGTCATTATTCTCTGTCCTAGCATGCTGTTGTGTTCCTTCGTAACGTGTATCCCAATTTGGTCTATCTGTATTCTACATTAGACTGCGAGGGCCATAGAGACAGAAATCTTGACTACTGTGTTTACAATTAAAATACCAGAGCCATTTATCAGCACATAATTGTCTAGTACATATTTGTTGAATGAATGAATGGAGTTTAGGCCTTTACAGCCTTTTATTTACCACAAACGTTGTGTTTCATTTCCTTATTCCATTTACAAGACTTTTCCGTATACATTCTTAAAATGATAGTTGAAATGTTCTTGTTGTTCTGTAAGCTCACCACCCTCATTTGCATGCTACTGATTTCTACATCCAAGTTAACTGATAAAAACATTGAACATAACAAGGCCAAAGATGAAACCTTATGACGCAGATAACTTCTCTCTACTTTGAGATGTGAATACCTTAACTATGATCAAGAAGTTGGTGTAAGACTCCTTTGTGTCTTACTCTTCACCAAATTACAGGGATCTATGAAGTTTGTCACACAGCCCAAATTCTCCATAGTGCCAACTACTATGCTTAGCTCTAAATCTATAAATCTAGAGCCCTCTCACCTCCAACCTGTATCCTTTTGTAGCACTAGTTCTCAGTGAACTCTGCTCAAGCTATTGAAAATCACTACTGCTCTTGCCAAGTTTACAAATTGCCCATTCTCTCATCAATGCACTAAGGTATATATAAATGAAAATAAGCAGTGGAAATTATACATCTCACTTTATTAGGGTTTTTATTTGCCCATATCTCATCTTTTTTAGGTCTACCCTATCTTTTAAGTCTTATCAGTAAAATAACAAATATTTATTTAGCATCGTCCATGTGCCAAATGCTACTTGAATCCCCAAAGATACAGTCGTAATCAACACAAATCCCTCTGGTTCTGTAAACCTAGAGTATAATCAGGCTCACAGAGAATTTACAAAACCGGGAAAAAAAAAAATCTAAAAACTGATGTAAGATTATCTGATTTCAACATCATATTTCTTAAAACTGTTTTAAAGTATGAATTCTTATGAATACTTACACATCAGACTGGTTTTGTTCATATAAAGCTTTCATCTCCTCCAGAACCTGTCTGAGTCCATCTTCCTAAAACATACAAAATGATATTGATCTACTTTCATTAATTTCCCCCCAAGTCAGTAGCAATATTCTGTTTATAATGTTTATCTTTGATTTACATATCTTATTAAAAAGCAATAGTCCTTTCACACCTACTGTAAGTGTTGGTGAGGATGGAAATTGGAACTCTCGTACATTGCAGGTAAGAATGTAAAATGGTATAGCAATATGGAAAAAGTCTAATGGTTCCTCAAAAAGATAAACATATTGCCATATTATTTAGCAATTCCACTCCTAAACATATACTCAAGATAATTTAAAAATATATGTTCTTACAAAAACACAAATCTTCAAAGCAGCATTATTCATAATAGCTAAAAAGTGGAAACAGCCCTGGCTGGTATGGTTCAGTGGATTGCGTGCCGTCCTGCAAAAAAGGGTTGCCGGTTCAATTCCCAGTCAGGGCACATGCCTGGGTTGCCGGCCAAGTCCCAGTTGGGGCTGCATGAGTGCAACCCCACACTGATGTTTCTCTTCCTCTCTTTCACCCTCCCTTCCCCTCTGTCTAAAACGAAAAATAAACTTAAAAAAAAAAAAAAAGTGGAAACAACCCAAATGTCTATCCCCTGATTAACCAATAAACCAAATATGGTATATCCATTTGAGGGATTATTATCTGGCTATAAAAAGCAATGTAGTACTGATACATGCATGAAGCATGGATGAACTATGAAGACATTATGCTAAGTGAAACAAACCTGACACAAAGAACAAATACTATATGAGTCCACTTATCTGAAATATCCAGAATAGGCAAATTCATAGAGAGAGAAAGTAGATTAGAGGTTACCAGGGGCTGGGGGGAGATAGAAATGGGAAGTTACTGCTTAATGGTTACAGAGTTTCTGTTCATGGTGATGGAAAAGTTTTAAATATAGGGTTGACAATTATACAATCATGTGAATGTAATCAATGTTACTGAAGTATACACTTAAAATGTTAAAATGGTAACTTTTGTTACAGTATTTCATGACAATAAAAAAGAAATCGGGAAAAAAAACAGAAGTATTACTGACTACACAGCCAACACACTGATTAGGACAATCTCGAATACAATGTAGTGAGCAAAACAAATTAGACACAAAGAAATACATACTGTATGATTCCAACAGGTCTTTTACAGAAGTTTGTAACTCCTGGCACACTGAATCCAGAAATATGTAAAGACAAATATAATCTGTAGTTAGTTATTAAAAAGTGAATCTATGGTTGCCTGAGATTATAGGTGGGAGAAAACTACAAAAGGGAAAAAACCCCCAAACCCTTGGGGTGTCTAAGGTTACAGGTGGGAGGTAGCTATAAAAGGGAAAAAAATGAGCCCTTGGGATGACAAATCTTTTAAGATTTTTCTTTTAAAGATTTTATTTATTTGTTTTTTCAGAGCTAGGGGAAGGGAGAAAGAAAGGGAAATATCAATGCGTTAGAGAAACATCACTTGGTTGCCTCTTTGCAGGCACCCAACCAGGGACCTGGCCTGCAACCCAGGCATGTGCCCTGACTAGGAATCCAACTAGTGATCTTTCCGTACACAGACCAGCACTCAATCCACTGAGCCACACCAGCACAGGGCGGGTGACAGGAATCTTGATTGGAGGGCTGGTTATAAGGATATATATATTTGTTAAAACTGAAAAATCTGTTAAGATACGTATTTTGTTGTATATAAATTATACCTCAGTAAAACAGATGGTAAAAAAAAACCCAAAACAATAGTCCTGCAGGAGAAATAAAGCATTATAAAAGTATGTAAGTAATTTATTATTTACTGAAAAATGGTCTTAAAGGTTACTATAAAAAAAAAGGTAACTGCAAGAATAGAAAGGCCAAAGGAGTTTTTCTATTATACACCTTGGGGCAAATTTTGTCAAAAGTTGAAAATTTACTTGAAAGGATAAAAAGATTATATTTACCTGGCAGGGGAGACACCATGATCAAGGATAAAAAGATTAGTATTCTGAAATTCAAAAATATTACACAATAGCTCTGTCAACAGTCCAAAAATAAGTGACCCATCTATTTTCTCATTCTACTTTTAGGACCAAAATAAACACATTAGAAAAATAACTTGGTGCTACTGGTACAATTACAAATTAACTACTTAACCCTGCTCAAATACAGGAAAAGATGAAATTCCTGATGAAAAATATAAACATGACTTCTATTTTCCCTTTCATCAGCTGGTTCAAAAAGATAATGAAAAAAGTCTGATTTATTAGAATTCAGTCAAATATACTTTTTATTAGAGAATATTATTTTAAGAAATAGTTGAAACTCATACAATAGATCTGCAAGCATACAAAAGTGTAAAATAATTTTGTAAAGATACACCATCTTTCAGATTTAGATCGATAGTGGGAACTGAATCCATTTTGTGCCCCCACGTCAAGCTCTAAGTCCCTGGGTGGCCAAGATGATTTCCCTAAAAACCCACTTCAACTATTACCAGTCCCGCATACAGAAAGTGGGTAATCATTTCAATGTGCTAAACACAGCACTTAACCATGAGGGATTCTGGGATGAGCAAGACAGAGTCCCTGCTCTAAATCCACTGACTATTATCTCACTCAAAAGGATGATTATTGAAAATCATGGGCCTATTGGCCCTCAGATCAATAAGATCAATTCTTGCTCTGACCCTGCTCAGCTGTGTCACAGAGTGACAAGCTTCCACAGACTAAGTCTTCTCAGGCTGCTGAGTCACCTGAAAAAGGTGGATTTGTCAGTGGAAGAGGACATGAATCCAACAGAAGCTGCAAAAGCTTCTCCCCCATACTAAGACATAGAAGAGGGAGTGATTTTACAACTTCTAAGTCCCGCTCCCCAGAAGTAGTAAAGTAGTACACACGTCTGTACTCCATCATTTCTACTGAACTTCCCACTGCTGTCTCTCAACTTTTGGACTCAAGTTGAAACAGCAAGCTAGAATCTAGACTGTGTTAAAAGTGAGGCTCTTCCTCCAGTATGCTGTAGTTCAGACAATTTCCTTCACTTGATCCCTAATTTCTCTCGGCTGTTTCCTCATCTGCAAAATAAGCTAATTTCCAGACTAGGTTAATCTTCAAAACAAAACTTACCTTCCCCAAAACACTCTTCCTCCTGAACTCTAAAGTTGTTTACTCAGCTGAGAGAGAAGCCTCTTGAGATCCCCTAATTCTTTCCCCTCACTTATTACCTACCGCATCTCCACTCCTTTCTAATCATTACAAGTCTTATTTGTCTCAAGTTACTAAAACCCAAACACTGATTTCAGAGACCACTCACTAGACAGTTTGGACCATACAAATCTCTTACCTGGTCCATTATAACCACTCATAACCATCTCTCTGCCTCCATTCTTCCCACTTTCCAATCCATTCCCCACAGTGCTGCCATAGATATCCTCAAAAAACAAAAAGTTACCCAATCACTCCCTTGTCTAAAATCCTTTACCAGCTTCCAAATGCCCTTTGAGTGAATACCAAAACTCTCTTAAACCTAGAATCTACCTTCATAGTCTCCACACACACCCTCAGTCACCCTTCCCATGTGATCCTGTGTCTCTGCTGTCTGCTATATCCTTTGGCTGGGATGCCTCACTCCCTTCTCAGAGTGGTGACCTTATTCATCTAGGCATGGCTCAAAAGCCCTCTCCTCTGCCTTAGCTCAGGATGGATTTTTCCTTTGTGTTCCTCTTCCACACCTCCTTGGTATAACTTTACATGTTGCATTCTACAGAGTTGGCCAAAAAGCCCCTAAGGTTTTTTCCATAAAATAAAAGGCACATTTTTCATTTTCACCAATAACTTTATTGATTTCGATATTTTGAGTATGTCAGCTATCTCCTGGGTGGTATAACGTTGACTGTTCTCAGTTAATGTCTCAATTTGATTGCTACCAACTCCAACTGGTCTACCCAACTGTGGAGCATTGTTCAGAAAGAAATCTCCAGTATAAAACTTCGGAAACCACTTTGACAAGTTCAATCAGTCACAGCACCTTCTCCATACACTCAACGAATCCTTTTTTTGCAGTTCAGTTGAGTTTCTACCTTTCTTGAAATAATAAAGCATAATATGCTGAAAATGTTGCATACTTTCTTCCACCTTCAATATTAAAATGGCTACATAAAAATTTACCAATTTTGAGGGTTTTTTTAAACGCACACTGATATTAACAGCTGTCACATACCATCTAACAAAATTGTTTTGAATGAAGTTAAAGACAACTAAGTGCTACTAGAGCCACCTTACTGAAAAAAGCAAACAAACTTTTTGGCCAACCCAGTATTACTTATTTCATGCCTCTCTCCTAGCAGAACATGCCCTGGCATCCGCACAATGGCTGCCCTATAAGAAACATAGTTAAGTATAGACTTTAGAGTGCAGGTCTTAAGCCAGACTGCCAATGTTTAAATTCTTAGCTTTACTTGTTACTGTCTGTCACCATAATCTCCCCAAGTCTCCATATAAATAGCTGGAAAAAACGGAAAACAACAGTTTAAACCTCATAGGATTATTAATGAGGACGAGAGACAATGCAGGCCAAGTGTTTAGCACCCTGACTGGGGTAATTACAATTAAAAAAAAGAAAAATAGTAACAGTGATCAGTAGAAGCAACAGTGGTAAAAAGACTTAAGTCATTACGGTGTCAAATATTGTTCAGAGAACCTGAGGTACACCTTCTCACTGAGCCCCTACTACAGTAAGAATAGGGTGCTATTATTATTATCGTCCCACTTTTGCAGAAAATTGAGCAAACAGAAAGTCTGAGTAACCGACCCAAAGTAAGACAACAGGGCCAGAATCCCCAGCCTGGATCCAGAAGCCTAGCTTTTGTCGGAGTGCACAACAAATGCTAGGTTATCAAGCAACAGAAAATTGTTTAAGCAAAGTTAGAGCAGTATAGTTATATAAGAAAAAACACTAGAGAAAATATATAAAGAAACACACCAAATCTCTGAGTAAAGTAGGCAGGAAGGATTTCTTTCTCCTCCTGTACTTTCGCCTGGTTCCAAAATTTTTGTACCTCACTTTGAAGTTGACCCCGTGAGAAAGTAAACCCTCCAGGGGAGGGGCAAAGGAAAACCAGGAGGGAGCCGAGCCGACCCACCCTGCTCTCCGAACAGACCCCAATCCGCCCATTCAGTCTACCCGGTCCCCTCCACCAACGCCCCCTCACATTGAAGGCCAGCAGCTGCCCTTGGGGTAAGCGGTGCGACTCGCGAACCAGCTCCATGGCTCTGTTGCAGAACATGGCGGAGGCAACCCAGTCCTGTGCCCTTGTCAACCACTCGCTCTCACACCAAATGGTGTAGCAGAACTCACTCCACAGCACTCAGCCTCTACAGTTCCGGTTGTTACCGTTCTTGGTTATCGCCTGCGCCCCAGCACTGCGCTTTGGCGCCAAACACTCCCGGCCAATAGGAACACGCCGCTAGGCCTCACGGCCTACGGCGTCAGGGAAAGGACACATAACTTTCGCTGCGTTCTTTCCCGGGGAGAACAGAGGGCTCTCCGTCGGAACCTGTAAACTGAGCTGATTTGTTTTTTCGAATTCCCAGGCCGTTAAGCAACCAACTTTGCGTGTCCCACAGCTCAACGCAAGTGCACGGTTGTCAACTTCCTTTTTCCATATGATTCATTCATTTTCATTTAGGTTCAAAGAGGTGCGCACTTCAAGGTTAAGAAGGCAGGCCCAGAAACTGTGTGCATTAACTTGATGACGCAGCGTTTCGTTTTAGTTTTGCAGCGTGGGTGTTTTTATAGAAAACGGGAACCAATTTTTATTGGGCACCTCCTGTGTGGCAGGGACTATGACATAAACTTCATTGAGTAGTCAGGATTAACCAACCCTAAGGTGGTTTTTAAGACTTGGTACTGGTTAGGATGAAGTTAGGTAACTTGCCTAAGGTCACACAGACCCTGTATTTAAGCTTTCAACTCCACAGTACCACCTTTGAGGTTAAAGCACTCATTTTAAAATATTTGTAAAATAGCTTTAGTCACAAGGTCTACAGAGAAGGAAAAGTGCCCTAGATTAACACCAATTCACACAGCCATATTCTTGCTTACACGATTATGGAAATTTTCATAAACATATAATAAAAGGCAGGAATTACTGCTATAGAAAATTCATTTTATGTGGCTATTTTAAAAAATGCAATTTTTAAAAAGCAGTATTACCTGGATTCATTCTAGCTAACCTGAGAAACTGTGTCTTTTTGCAAGTATACAGTGGATGTGTGACCAGAGAAATGAGCGTGGAAAGTGACATTTAGAAAAGGATTTTCATTAAATACACAGCTCTCCATTGACCCATACTATATGATATGGATCCAAAGATCAACAGCATCCATAGTGTTCCTTTGTCATAAACCTTTTTAATTTTGAACAATAGGCCTGAGATTCACTTCCTCACCTATAAAGTAGGGACAATAGTATCCACTTTCTGAGGGGCTGTGATGATTCTTTATTCCTTCAGCAAATATTTGTGCAGTGTCTATGTAGTAGATATTGCTCTAGAATCTGAAGATAAAGCAGTGAACAACGTCCTTGCTCTCATCTACGTTCTGGTGTAGGAAATCACCAACACACAATTACAAATACATTGATAAAAATATTAGTGAAAAACATTAAAAAATATGCCAAAGAAAGCAGAGTGATAGTGAGAGGGCCTGAGGGTTTTGAGTTAGTGTTCAGAGAAGGCACAGACCTGAAGTGGGAAGGGAGTAAGCCATGGATATGGTGCCATTGGGAGGGCTGAAAATTCCAGGCAGCAAGAATGCATTGCAAAAGCCCCAAGAAAGGTTGTGTGATGGCTGGAACATGTTACCCACACCCCTCCTGGGGGCAAGGAGGCAGTGAGGCTGGAGCAGGGTGAGTGAGGAAGAGGCTAGTGGCTGAGGCCAGGTTGAGGGCTAGCAGCCCTTTCATAAGCTCTTGATTTCCAGTGACATAAGAGAGCTATTGAAGTGTTTTGAGCAAAGAAGTGACAGATCTAAACATAGGTTTTTAAAAAGGCTTTTGGGCAGCTGAGTTAAGTAGACAGAAGTAAGGCAAAGGTGAAAGCAGGAGACCCAGGACACCACTTAGGCTATTAAAATAATCCAAGTGAGAAATGATGGCAGCTTGGCAAAGGTGGTGAGAAGTGGGTGGATCCTGGATAGCTTCGGAAAGATCAAACAAGGCTTGGTTGATATGCCGGCTGTGGCAAAAGAAGGGAGGAATCAAGGATGACCCCAGGATTTAACTGAGAAATTGCAATGATGCATCATCCCCACTGTCACCCCCACCTGAGGTGGGGAAGGTTATGGTTGGAACTGAGGGTGGGAGAAGAGTTGTGAGCTCAGCTTTGAACATAATTTTAGGTGCCTCTAGAATATGAACCAGAGATACAAATGTTGGTGTCACCATTTTAGGCTGGTGTTTAAAGCCTGGATAAGACCACTCAGAAAGCAAGCGTGGACCAAGACACGAGTATTATATAGGCAAAGCCTAGTATCAGCAAGAAGGACACAATCTCTTCTCTCCAGTCCTCCTTTCCTAGCTTTTTCGTTTTCCTATTAAATAGGATTCAATGAGTATTAGAATAAAAAAGTTATTTACAGTTTAGTTGCTGGATTCCCAATCTCCAGTATGTGTTGCTGCATCACTTTAAAGAATTCACCATTTAAATTCCAAAAGTGTGTGAACAAATATGAATGTTGGTTGTGGTATTTAGTAATATGGTCAATGAAATGGTTGTGCAATTTTTAAGTATCACTACAAAGCTATTATGAGGAGCCATTGAATTTCCTAAGATACTTCTTTTTTTTTAATATAGAAAACTTTATTGCACTTATTCATTTACATGCCCATCTTCTCCAGTAAGCTCAGGGCACGAATCAAATATGACCATTTTATAAAAGCCTACAGTTAGTGAAGGAAAGAAAAGTGGAAAGAATAACTAAATAAGTGATAATTTTACAACTGCTTTTTCTCTACTTGCTTGCTGGTGCTTGATCTCACCCAACGTACAGAAACACACACACACACTCACAAACCTTGAGAAGGTCATACTACAACTTTCCAGGACAAACTCCGCCCCCAAAACTTTTCTCCAAGTACTGGGCCACAGCCAGGATCAGGTGATCATTAAAGGGTCCTGCCACGAACTGGATACCTAGAGGAAGTCCTTTGGCATTCAGACCCAGTGAGCACTGGGTCACAGGCAAACCCAGGGTATTGAAGATACCTGTGTAAGCAAAGTTGAAAGGCCTTGCCAGAGGAACATGGTGCTTGGGAGCCACTGGGGGATGGGACAGATTTAAGAAGATACCATCATCACCTAGCATCTCCACCAACTCTTCATGCAGGCTTTCTGTCACTGCCATAAACTCTTTGTATTTCTCACTGTTATATTTGAGCTTTTCTTCCAACAAGGCCAGCCCAATGGCAGGGACGGTGTGCACTGATGGGCCCAAGCGCCATCTGATCAATTCCCACAGAGGGTTGATAGGCCTGCCATGGTCACTAAGCAGATCCACAAATTTCACAGGTTCCTTCCCATCATGTCCTTTTGCTGACATCATTGTGACCCATAACTGAAGAGAATACTTCATTTGCTTCAGTGTAACATGTTGAACTCAGCATATTTTCCAGGTGAGCTACAATACTGGTCACCAACAAAGGCGGGGGCAGAGTGGGCTGGAGACGCCTGGGGAAGCGACTGGAGAAGGAGTCTTCGGGGAGAGAACTGATTAAGTAGCCAATGGGATCCCAGTGCTCGAATTTCCTAAGATATTTATAATTGATCTTAAATTATCAGTTGCCAATAGTTTTCACTGACACAAATGTTGAAATTCCAAAAATTACTTTCGGATAAGTAAGCAAATCTCTTGATTGTATATCATTTGTAAAATAATAATAATGATGATGCCACTTTAAAAAAATCAGTTATAAAACTAAATCTGTGAAACTGCTTTTCCTTTTTTTCTCTTTTTAGGATGGGTTGAATTAGTCCTGGTGAGAGAATGGTTTAAATCATTAGAAAAGAATTATGATTTGTTACCTTTTTCTTTTTTCTTTTTATAAACCTCTATATGGACATTTCCAGGGGGTGATCCAGATTGGGTTTCCAGCATGTGGATGGAAACAGGCCACATACTACACCTGACAAGCTCAGGTGAAGCCTGAGTGGTGGCCTTACAAACTCAGAGACCTAACGTAATCACATAGGATGTTCTGAAATTAAAACTAAAAGCAGATCATGGTAGGGAGTCATATCCTAGGCTAGAAACTTCCCTGACAAAGGTCAATCTTTTACTGTAACTGAGAATGTCTACTTTCCTTTTGCATTTAAGATAACATACATTTGGAATGTTAGAGTAATTTCCCTTTTTTTCAGACCCATTAAGGCAGACACCAATTTTCGGGGATCACAAACCCCCTCATTGTTACTGTTAACTATTGACTATTCTGTACTCACCTGCGTAAAAGAAGTCTGTGTCTATCATTTTACGTTTTATCCAATACCAGAGGTTTACCCCACTTTGCTTTCTCCCGTCTCCTTAATCACTAATAGACTTCACGTAACCTACTTACATCTTCTGACTGTAATGTATAAAATAAGGTGCATAACTACCATTCTCTTGGACATTTTCTCAACTTGTTGAGTCAACTGTCAGGTTGGCTCAAATAAACTCATAAAAATTCTTTCCAAGTTTGAACGTTTCTGGTGTGGACGAGCATTAGGAGAAAGTCAGAAAGCCTGCAGTGGGAGCAGAGGGAAAACAACTTTGCTCGGTAGCGCTGGGTTGGCGTTCCCTTTCTGAGCAGCATCCTCTCTCGTTCAGGCCACTGGTCTGCAAAATAAAGGTGAGTACGCAGGCGAACGAGACCCCCACCCCGGGAAGAAGCCCAGACCCCAGCGAGAGTCAGCCCCTCAGCCTTCCCCAGACCAGACGTCAGTGTGGTTATGCCCGCCCTTCTCCAAGGTGGCTTCCGGTTGGCGCCGGGGATTCTGGGTGCGCTCCAGGAGGAGCCAGGGCGGAGGCGGGCGCTGATTGGCCCGCGAGAGTAGGTAGCTGTCCTGGCTTGAGGTTGAAATGTGAGAGGCTGCGGGCTCCTGGCGGCGGCGTCTCCCTTAAGTGGCGAAGACTGCTGCGAGGGCGGTGCGGACACGGCCTGGGGGCTCCTTCGGTGGCCGGCCGTGTGAGCCGCGGGATGAGGAAGCGGACCGACGCCGTCGCCTTGGAGCATGAACGCTGCGTCGCCTTGGGTTCGTCCTCCCCCGGCTCGACTGCCGCGGTGCTGGACGCCGACTGCCGCCTGAAGCGCAACTTGCGCTTGGCCGGCAAGGGGCCAGCTGAGACGCGCTGCACCGCTGACGAGGGAATGAAGCGAGCGTTAGGCAGGTGAGGTGAGGGGTGGGTGGGGGCCGGCACGCCGCCGCTAAACCTCCCACACTCTCCATTAGGTTTTCCGCGTTCGGGAGCGTCCCACACCTACCCTCCATCCTTCCGGGGCCCTCTTACGACCTCTGGACTCGCTCCCCTCTCCTGTCCCTGATGCAGGCATCCTACACGCAGGAGCAGCCCTGCCCCTCACAACCCTGGTGCCCTCTTCTGCCTCCCACCTACCCAGCACTCCAAATCCAGCCCCTCATTCCTACTCTTCGGCTGGTGAGCTTGTAGGGAGCCCTTTTAGCAACGGGCTCGATGAGCGTCTCACAGGGAGATGGAGCGGCAGAGAAATCACGACACTGCGTGGGAGAGTGGGGGAATAGGTTGGGAGTTGCCTTGGAACGCCAGATCCTACAAGCTGTGACTACACAGATCTCCTCCGCGTTGGACTCAACCCAGTGCCCCTATCAGTAGGTTGGCTTGTACCCAAGCTGATCGGTACCGGGTTTCTCACTTCGGGAATCTTCTAGGGTAACTAATTGGCAGAAGTGGTATTCTTTGCCCAGAACTGCCAGACCTTTGGGGAAAAGCTAAATGGGCAGCTTGTGTCCAAGGAAAAGGAAGGATGCACCGCATTCCCAGCTGTTGGAGGGAAGCTTGTCTTTCGCTGTACAGTTGGCTCCTAGTGCTTGAAATTTGCCTACTTTAGTTGTTTCCTTGGAAATCTCCGTAATGTCGAGAAAGCATTTGGTTGTGTTCTCCCTTTGTGCCGTAGATGAAAGCGTTTATGTAAAACTGATTTCAAAATTGAGATGGGAGCATATTTCACCTGGCCAAATTTCTATCCCATAAGCTGGTTTCTTAATTATCTGGTTGTTTGTAGAACATGTCACTCTTGGCAGTTTTGAAGTCCTCATGTTTCATGATGTTGGAAGAAGTTATGTTCTCAGGTGTTGTAACAGTTATCTCCTTCAAGGTGAACTGGAATGTCCTTAACTGCCACTGGCCACTTCAGTGTAAAATAATTATCCAAATAACCTAAAATGTCAATTGTTTAAAAGATCATTAAATTTAAAATATGAATACTTGGATCAATGAGAACTTTTTTTAAAAGATCATTAAATTAAACTATAGACTCTTCTAAGTAAGTGCCTCCCTGGAGGGCAGGAGCCAACAATATTTTTGTTTTTGTATAAAATTTTCTAGCAACTGGTCGATATCTTTTGTGAAACTAATGTCTTTTCTGTGGAAGGGTTTATCTGCATTAAAAAGTCATGAACAACTTTAATGCACTATTACTAACAGGCTTGGCATACCACTTAGATAGATTGGGAAGTTCTTCCTTTAAAGAAATGACGTTGTGATGCACAGTAATGATTGGAGAAACATAGCTAGCCTTACACCTTCCTTGAAAGATGTACTGTATTAAAAGGATTTGAATATTTTTATTTTTGTATGGGGGACAAAGGCATTCAAGTGGTGTTCATATCCATTGTGTAAACAAAAGACTGTTAGGCTTAAAAAAGTCAAGGAACATATAGCAAGGACTCATGGACAGAACCAAAGGGGAAGAGCTGAGGGAGGGAAGGAGGGAGGGGGCAGAGACAAATGTATTTGAAAAAATAAATTAAAATAAAATTAAAAAAAAAAAAAAGAAAAGCAGAGGGCAGAAAGGCCAAATTTGTATGTTATACCATGGTTTCCTTCCCTATTGCCTGTAATTCTTCCTGGACATTCTCTTGCTTTGTTTTCTCCTATATCCAGTTCTCTGCTCAAATGTCACATCCTCATAAAGGCCAGAACATCCAAAAGAGCCTTCATGCCACTCCTTATTCTTTTTATTTTTTTTGTCGTTGCATTTATCTGCTACCTGACTTGATTTGCTTTGTGAGTTGTCTCCTCGTCCATGACAATGGAAGTGCTATGAGGGCAGGGGACATTATTTTCTCCACCTCTCCTGTTCAGTGCCTGGCACATAGTAGTAGGTGGGAGAAAGTACTTGCTGAGTGAATATTTTTGATAAATTTCTAGAAGTGGAATTGTTGGGCCAAGAGTTGTGTGTTAACTTTGAAAGGTAATGCTAAAATGCTGTCCAAAGAAGCGGTGTTTTGTAACTCCCTCCAACAGTGTCAGCTGCCTCCACAAATATTGAATAGTACCAGATATTTTGATCTTTTCTATTTAATTGATGACAATGACATATGATTTGTAGCTTTAATTTGCATTTCTTAATTGTGAGGTGGCAGGTTTTCTGTGCTTTCATAAACTATTACATGCCTCTGGGGATTTACATCTTTCAAAACCCTTCTTTGTTTGTGGTCTTCCTGCACATTTCTTTCTTTTTTTTTAAAGATGTTATTTATTTATTTTTAGAAAGAAAGTGAGAGGAAGGCAGGCAGAAATAGAGGGAGAGAAACATCGATAGGTTACCTCTCTTACAGCCCCAACTGGGGCCCGGCCAGCAACCCAGGCATGTACCCTGAGTAGGGATTGAACCAGCAACCTTTCAATTTGCAGGCTAGTGCTCAGACCACTGAGCCACAACAACCAGGGCTCTTTTAACTCTCTATTGTGTGCATGTTCAAATATACAAAAGTAGAGAAGACGATATAATGAATCTCCATGTATCAGTCACTTCATTTCAACAGTTTTCCATTTTTTGCCTATCTTGAATCATCTGTCCACTCCCCCCTCCATTTTTTGCAGGGTGAGAGACTAGACTTAAAATAAATGATTTCATCTGTAAATATTTCATAGTATGTCTTGAACAAGGAAGGACTTTGTTAAATATATAAGCGCAATGCTATTATCATATTTATTAAAATTAACAATTTATTATCTGTAATTAATTTATTATATAGTATCCAACCTACATACACCTTCCCAATTGTCTCAGAAATGTCTTAACTTGGTTTTTTAAAATCCTGTACATTTCTTAAGTTTATTCCTAGTTGTTTTATCATTTTTGTTATGATTTTAAATAGGATCCTTTCTTATGTTACATATTCTTATTAGTTATTATGTTTAATAATTTTATGATTAGCAATTTATGTAATCTTAATTTGTAATAGTTTCTGCAGTTGGTTCTCCTGGATTTCCCAGGTATGTTATCTTGTTGGCTGCAAATAATAAGAATTTAGCCCCTTGTTTCCTAATTTATATGTGTCTTGTTTCTCTTTTCTGGTTGCATTTTATTTCCAGAACAAGATTAAATAATAGGGATGATACTGGGTACCTTTGTTTTGTTCCTGACTTTAATGAGAATGCTTTAGTGGTTTGTTGAATTGTATTAAATGCTGTTTTAGCATTTATGAAATTATCATACAGATTTTCTCCCTTGACCTCAGTTATAGTAGTAGACTATACTAGTGAATCATCATTACTGAATCATCAGTGATAACTGTTACTGTATAGTCAGTTACATTGTATTTAATTTACTTGTCAATTTAACACCATTATTTGTGAGGTTAGTCTTTAATTTTCTTTTTTAATGCCATCTTTATCAAGTCATTTTAGTATTTCCTATAGCTTTATTAAAAACTTTTTCTTCTTTAGCCTATTTAAATACTTCTGAAATTACCTATTTCTTTAAATTTTGGTAGAATTTCCCTATAAAACTACCTAAGCCTGGATTTTTTTAGAATATGGTACCTTAATTATTACAGTTTCTTACATTTGTTATCTCATTCTGGGTTCAGTTTTAGTGATTTGTATGTTCATAGAAAATCGTTCATTATCTCCAGGTTTCCCTCTGTACCTGGGGCTATTTTCCCAGTCTTCTTCCCTATTTTGTTTATGGTTCCCCCCACTTTTTTCTTCATTTAGGCTAGGCAATGATATGAATATATCTAATACATACACATGCACTGAAGTGGATTTTTTCAAAGAAAATTTTGTTTATTCTGGGAGACCAGGATGATGCTGAGGGCTGCAGAGAAGTGGTAAGAATGTGTTCTATCCTGAAGAAAGCAGCAGCTATTGCATGCCCTCATGTTCTTGCCTGACAGGAATGTAGGTCCAGGATGGCCAGATCTTCCAGTCTCTCCAGAAGACTAACTCGTTATGTGTGTATATGTGTCTGTGTGTGATGTCTAACTTTTTAAACATTAGCAACTAATTCAACAGGTTCGGAGGTAAAAAAAAAAAAAAACAACGAAAAAACGAAAAACACGTTGCTAATTTTAAAGGTGAATGTTTCTCTATCTCATATATCAACCTTGCTCTCCACAAGAGGAGAAACTAGATATGAGTTTTTCTTTGCACAGTGTCAGGTGTGAGGAAGGATTTGGCAAGTGAGAGATTTTGTAGGTCTTTCATGTTCTTTTCAGTAGTTCTGGAGCTTTGGGGAATATGCATTAAAAACATAAGTGGTCTAAATTGGACCCTACGAAGGCAGTAATGAGATGTACAAGTCTGTGTGTTTCAGTCAACTGGTCTTTATCCTTCAATTTCCAGCCCCCAGGCCAGATCTCCCGGTTGACTGAGATCAGTGGGCTACATGGGAGGTGTCATAGTATGTAAATAAAGAACTGAGGCATCACCCTTCTTCTTCCACCTTGACCCAAAGGAAGGGACTTCATCTAGGGCTGCTAATGGCTTCACCGTAACTCAGAAAGATGGGTGACTGAGTTAATATACATCTCCTTCAATGTCAGCCTTCCTGAGGGTTAATATTAAGCTTTCCCTCAAAGCCTTTCTGCATGGTATTTTTTTATCCTTTCTTTATATGAGAGGTTGTTCTGAGCTAGCTTTTGTAGTTAAGGTCTGCTTTTTCCTTCTCCCTTCTCCTTCTACTCCTCCAGAGTATAGTATGTGCCTGGACTGTGACAAGCAAGGGGGTACGCATTGTTAGGGAGCCTCAGGAGAAGACCGTGGTTGGGAACTTTGGAACTTAGCTCTTTGCTTGTATCTCCATCTTTCGTGGGACTTTACGTCCTATATCTGTGCCTGCTTCCCAGTTCTTTTCAGCCATTGCGTACTCTCCGTTCTCAAGAGAGCATCTGTCTTCTATG